GCGCAGTGACGGGGGCGCGCACCAGGACGGAGGCTGCTGGCGGGGGCTTACGGGGTGCGCTGGGGGATATGGGAGTGGGGGCGTGGGGATGTTGTGCGGTGCGGGGACACGCGCCAGGACCGGGGCGCGCACCGGGATGGGGACGCGCACAAGGGCGGGGATGGGCGGGCCAGCTCAGCGCGCGTTCCTGAAGCACACGCACGGGTCCCGCGGGCCCTCCCCGCCCCGCCCAGGACCTGGCTTCCCTCTGGCTTAAGGCAAAAAATACCTGCTGGATCCCCCCCACCCACCCCCCCCACCCTCCCAGGTTGAAACTTCAAGTATTCTGGGTCTTCAAGGGCTGAATTTTTTTTATATGACTAGTTTGTTTGGGGGTTGGACGGGACAGTGTGGGCCATGAAGCGAGTACCGGGCTGAAAGTTCCTAGAGCCCGCCAGCCTGTGCTCTTGGCTAATCAGAGCATCTGTCAGGCCTTGTTCCCCACCTTCGAAAAGGAGGCTGGAGGAGAGGGGAAGTCTACTGTCCACATCCAGGCCAACCTGAAAGACCGTGGCCCAATGGCACGGTCCCCAGCACCCCACCTTTCGCCGGCTGGGGGCTCCTGTCGTCCTCAGCAGGTCCTCTTCCCTGGGCTTCGTCAAAAAGTCGTCACTACCCAGGATTCCATCCCTTTTTACTTCCATTCCTGTGTGTCCTCCCCCCCTCCCCCCAATTACCAGATCTGTGCCTCTGGGCATGATCGTTTGGGGGAGGCTATCTCATGCCTCCAGCTGCCCAACTGAATCACCTCACTGAGATGCCCAGATACCTAATGTCTAACAACCTGCACCAGTTTCCTAATTCTCCAGGCCAGAGAGTCCTCAGAGACTTTTGTCTTCCTCAGTCTTCCTGATCCTCTCTGAACAAAGTCTTGGGCATCTGACCTCATTTTCATTCCTGTAACCACTCTTTCCACTGAAGCCACTGCCACGCACCTGGCACGTGCCACCGACTTCCTGGTCAGTTCCCCACCACCGGTTACTTGACCCTGAAGCAGAGTCAGCGCCCAGAAGCTCCGTGGCATTTTTTCCCCTTTCAAAAGTAGGCAGTTGTGCCCAGTGGGGGCTCAGCTGATTGGACTGTCATCCTGAGGGTTTGATCCCCAGTCAGTGGCTTACAGGGAAGCAACCAATCCATGTTTCCTTCTGATATCAACCTGCAGTCCCACTGCATCTCCCATGAGCTCCCAAAAGGCCTCCTGGAGGCCTTTCACACTTTCCTTCAGGGTGTGCCCTCACCCAAGGTGCCCACCTGCCTCTCTGCCCACACCCCTTACATCCACCCCTAATGTCAACTCAGAAAATTTTCTCCTCCTGCCTGCTGTGCTCCCACTGCTCACTGCCCTTGTCCTGCCTGACCTTTTTTATCATCCTCATCAGCCTAAGTGTAAGCTCCTGGAAGACAAAGACTAAGCCTTCTTCATCTCTGTATTTCCCAGTGACTTGACCGTAGTGGCAACTTAGAGAGTTGAGGGCATTTCTCATACGGATCTGACTTTTCGGTGGGGACATGTGAGAGAAGTGGGCAACGGACAGTGACAAGCTTGAAAAAGGTGGACATGGAGTCAATGGGCACTGCTGGCCTCACCACCATCTCTCTCCTTTTCACGATAAACAGACCGCTGGTATAGAGAGCCTTAGAGGGGCTCTAGTCCAGCCCTTCATGCTACAATTGAAAAGCTTTGCAGGGGTTCCCAACCTGTGGGTCGCGAACAATGAAAATACATCCTGCATATCAGATATTTACATTACAATTCATAACAGTAGCAAAATTACAGTTACGAAGTAGCAACGAAAATAATTTTATGCTAGGGGGTCACCACAACATGAGGAACTGTATTAAAGGGTCGCGGCGTTAGGAAGGTTGAGAACCACTGCTAGAGAAATAAAATGCAGCAGAACCAGGATTCAATTCCCAGTCTGCAGAGCAAAGCGTGGGGTTCCTTACAGCAAAGTGGGGCTGCACACGCCACTCAGCAAGCAGTATCAAGCCGCTGTAGGGCAGGATGATGCCAAAATGAAAATATATTCCCTTTTCAGTGCACAGATGGGCCTTGATCGTTTACAGAAGATGCTATAACTGAGGTTGGTTCCAAAGAAGACTACTATTTTGCATTAAATAGCACATCGATAGCAGGCTGAGATTCCGAGCTGCCGGTTCATTTTAACAGGTCTTTGGGTGACTACAGATTGGATAGTGTACTTGTGGAATTTCCAGTGGCCTGATAGATGTCTTTATCTGGAAATTCTTCCATGTCCTCAAAACATGTTCTGTCCAAATCAGAAATCAGAATCTTCATACCCACCAATCATCAGTCTCCGCTCATTCTCTCTGATGGTAGCCTCCCTTACTCCTTGTTACCCATGTTTGAGCTATGCCTGTTATCAAGCTTCAGTAACTTCTACCTACAACTGTTCTCTGACGCTCTCTCTCCTCCCCTCTGCCCAGGGCCACTGCCTAATTCAGACCTTCAGAGCACATTCCTCCACCCCCCACCCCCCAGTGTTTGTCCTTGTAATCTTTCCTGCCATGGCTGCCAGATCACTTGTCCTAAAGTGCCACTCTGAGCAGGGGACAGTCTGGGCTCTGCATTATACAGGGGTCCTCTGCCTACAAGCCTGAGAGCTCCCTGCTTTGACCCTGAAGGCTTCACAGGCCCTGGCACAAAGCTCTCTCCTCTACTTTCTGTTTTGTGGCCCCTGCCATGCACCTGCGTTCTCAAGAATTCTCGGTTGTCCGTGGGGAGTCCACCACTTCTTGTGTCTGTTGCTTGTGGACATGTCCCCTCTTCTTGTCATCCTGTCTCCCTTATTCCCCAGCCCGAGTCACAGCCACATGCCAAATGTTACACCTTCGAGTTTCCGTTCAAATGCTGCTTCTCCCATGAAGCCTTCCTTCTGATCTGGTTGGGAAGATGCTCTCCCACCTCTGGGATCACACACCTCTTTGCCGCCTGGTGTACCTGGATTCGTAGGTCGTCTGTGCATCTCATACGGCAGCTAGTTTGTCTGCAATTCTTCTGCAGTGGTGAGGGACCTATAAACAGCATCTCGTTTCTCAAAGTGCAGTCCAGCACTGGAACCAGAGCAAGACTGTTCCCCTCATCTCTTCTGCTGCAGTCTGGCAGCCTCAAGGGATGCAGGGCTTAGTGAAAACCCTGACTGACAGTCGTGTGTGTCTATCTGTATAAAAACCTGGTTCTAATGTGTGACTAGGTTGCACATAACAATACCCAGTAGAAGTTTATTAGAATGGAGTCAATGGGCGCTAAGGGCTATTTGCCTCAAAATCTCACCGAAGCCCTAGACCCGTGGTCGGCAAACCGCGGCTCGTGAGCCACATGCGGCTCTTTGGCCCCTTGAGTGTGGCTCTTCCACAAAATACCACGTGCGGGCGCGCACGCACAGTGCTATTGAAACTTCGTGGCCCATACGCAGAAGTCGGTATTTGTGGAAGAGCCACACTCAAGGGACCAAAGATCCGTATGTGGCTCGCGAGCCGCGGTTTGCCGAGCTGCAGTTTGCCGACCACGGGTTCTCAACTGCCCTAGACCAGTGGTTCTCAACTTTCTGGCCCTTTAAATATAGTTCCTCATGTTGTGACCCAACCATAAAATTATTTTCGTTGCTACTTCATAACTGTAATGTTGCTACTGTTATGAATCATAATGTAAATATCTGATATGCAGGATGGTCTTAGGCGACCCCTGTGAAAGGGTCATTCGACCGCCAAAGGGGTCGCGACCCACAGATTGAGAACCGCTGCCCTAGACACTCCATCATCACAGTTACTTCTTTATTTTTTCTTTTTTGTTAAACCTCACCCGAGGATATTTTTCCATAGCTTTTTTTAAAAATATATTTTATTGATTTTTTACAGAGAGAAAGGGAGAGGGATAGAGAGTTAGAAACATCAATGAGAGAGAATCATCGATCAGCTGCCTCCTGCACGCCCCCTACTGGGGATGTGCCCACAACCAAGGTACATGCCCTTGAACGGAATCGAACCTGGGACCCTTCAGTCCCCAGGCCGACGCTCTATCCACTGAGCTAAACTGGTTAGGGCTTTCCATAGCTTTTTAGGGAGAGTGGAAGATAGGGGAAGACAGAGAGAAATATCGATGTGAGAGAAACACATCTATTGGTTGTCTCCTGCACGAGCCTGGACCAGGGCCCAGGCCCGGGAGGAACCTGCAACCAAGGTATGTGCCCTTGATTGGAATCTAACCGGGACCCTTTGGTCTGCAGGCCGACGCTCTATCCACTGAGCAAACATCTAGAGCCAGTTACATCTTTGAAGTGTGGTCAGTTGTCTTCAGAAAG